GTTCCCCAACTACTTTTGGATTTAATGAATAAATGCTTGGATGCTGAACCTCAAAACCGACCGACTGCTAATGAATTGGGTGATGCGCTAAATCAATTTTTTTACGATTTGAAATATAAAGAAACAGAATTATATAAACAAGTTAAAGAAATTAAGGACTTGGGCAAAAATTTAAATCAAGTTACATCAATACGACTCAACTACCAGACACATAAACAAGCTATTTATACAAGTCGACCTTTAAATTATCAAAATCTTCCTAAACCAATAAATGCTAATCCAGTAGTTACAGGTCAGAATGTTAGCCAATCAAAATATCGGTTTTAAAGTATTATTTTTCCATAATTATTAATTCTTGTGCTTGTTTTAGTAAGCAAGCCTGTTGAAGATCCAAATTTTGACTAATATCATATTTTTTTCATATAACCTACACTGGTTTTTGATTTATATCCTCGATATACTACAGTCAATCTCTATATAATCACCAAGTTGATTATGTCCTAATTTGTGATAGTATAGAGAGGTGTGATTATAAAATTGATAGCACAAAAAATTTTTATATTATTTTTTTTTTTTTTATGTTTTTTTTTTTTATAGAGTGAGGCCTTTATTGAATAATTTATGTGTTACATTAATATAATGAGTTACATGAATTACTACAGGGACCTACGGAAAATTTTTATATTATAACTATATTTGTATTAAATAATACTTATATAGTAACGACTAATCAGTTAAATATTGTAAATAGTTGAATTCAAATCACCAAGTCCCTATGGTCAGAATACAATAAAAACAGAATATAACAAAGGCTACTTGAAAGAAAATGTAAAATACTTAACCAAGAGCTATAGATTTTACTGTTCTAGGATCCCAGAGTAGTGATGATTTAAATACAATTCTCTCTTCTTTTTAATTATATGAATGCGAAGGGTTTTTATATATAATATTGGGGTTTTGCTATTATATTTAGCATCTGTTATATATCTTGCAGTACTATTTGGAGAAGAAATCTATAATAAAAACATTTAGATTATGTTAGGTGTTTCACGAAGAATAAAACAATCCTAAATCTAATTTACATGGTATCCGCAGGACATTGCACTTTCCTGGGTGATAAAATTTTTATAATGAAAGAGAACTTGGGAAGTAGTTTTATTTAATCTTTCCTAATCGATTATAACTTAATCAAGACAACAGATGATAACCAACCAACTGCAATAATAAAAAAATACAAATTCAAATATATATAATGAATTATTTATTAAAGATATACAGTCAAACCCCTCTATAGTCACACCTTCGGGATACAAAAAACCATGATTGTAAAGAGGTGTGACTAATATAGAGGTATTTTCAATATAGTTATAAATAATTGGTAAAATAAATTTGTAATTATACCAATTTTGTGACTATAGAGGAGGTGACTATAGAGGGGTTTGACTGTAGTTCTATCTAGTTATAGCATTCATTTACGCAAATCTGGCCCCTGATAACGTGTTAACTGTGAATTGAAAGATCAAGTAATATGATGCTATTTAAAGTATTGCATGACTATGACCTTTAATTATACTATTCAACAGTCAAAGACGCCATCTTATTGTTTTTTGGGAGCTTCGCCTTGAGCCAGACCAGAAATAACATTTATTAAATGCTACCTTGATATATTAATCATTGCATATTAAAGGTTCCAACTTTGGTAGCTTTGGTTATGATTCATAGTATGTGGGCCATATTTTCTCATTACAATATTAGTGGAAATAAGGTTTCAATTAGTGTTCTACAAACCGATCCCGAATTGAAACCGCGGGGGATGTTTGAGTAATGATAAAGCGAGATTTAATTATTACTCAATTGCTTGATGATGGATATTAAATATTCTCCATGGTTTTAATTCAGATACCTATTTGCAGAACATTAGTTCCACTTGGAATATACATATATAGTGTGTATGGAAGATAATTTAGTACTGTATTTTATAAAATTTTAAAATGATACGATACAGTACGCGAAGATACATATATATAAAGATAATTTCGTATTGGGTTGTATAGAATTTAAAGTAAAGATCAATACAGTACGAACTATGTACGCACCGTAAATACCAAATCGCTAACCACCAATCGGAATAATTCGACCATCTGATCTCATTTTATTTTAACACATCTATGCAATGTAAACAGTCGAATTTCTTTATATCGAACTTTTTTTATAAATAGTTCACTCTATAATAAACTGTTTTTAACAAATTTATTATAGAGTCGATATATGAACATAGTAAATTACTTCTACAATGAACTTTTAAAAATTTTTACTATAAGAACTGTCAGTTCATTATGGAAAGTTACCTATATACAATTTTTTTCTTTTTATTCATTTGCTATTTATACAGGATTTCAACAAAAAATAAAGGTAGTCACATATATAAAAATACAAGAAAACACGATTACAACTCACTCACTATAATGAAGTTCTCAGGTTAGGAAAAAATCCATACTATAACTTATATCAAGAAATAATAACCATATTTTACTAGATACATTGAAATATAATAATTTCGCAATTCAAAACTCTTTGTTATATCAGAAGTTTACTTTAAAGAAGTAAGCTGTATTTTGACAGACTGGTTTATTTCATTATCTAACTTGTGAGTATATTATAGAACTTTAATATTTTATAGCCTTGTTCGAATTATTTATCTGTGCTAATTTAGTTCATGAATACAGATTTGAATATAAATCCAATTACAGTCAAAGCTTATGATAACGAACTTCTTTATAATGAACCCTGAACATAACGATCATGATTTTAAATTTTGTTTGGAAAGTGTAGATTTTTTTTGTGTATCTGACGATTTGATATAATTTTTGAAATAAAATTTCTGGTAAATGTTAAGACTTTAAATTCGCTACTTTTATTATTACACAGATTAAAAAAAACGAATGTAACAGAAACTTATTGGGATTAATCATCTTTACAAAAAACTACTGAACCTGTTAAAAAAAAGTAAGTTATATAGTATATTATTTTTTTGCAAGTGATTAATCAAAATCTAAAAACTCTAATTGCAAGTGAATTCGTTAATATTGAATAACAATAAAGCCTTTTAAGAATTGAGCATAAAAAGCTTGTGAGTCAAAAGGATAAAATAATGAGTTGAAAAAAGAAGGTATGTTGTGAGAGAAGCTTTAAAAACTTTTATTTTAATTAATGTGCACTTTGCGAATAGTTACATGATATATAATAATATAATGTTATTGTTTTTAATTAACATCGCAAATTCAAATGTAAGGCGTATATAAATTAATTACACTTTTAAAGTGAACCTATTTTGTTTATTAATTTATCATTATACTGTATTTATCAATTGTCATAGGCCAAAAGAACAAACCTACACACACAAAACAAAGGGTTATCAAGGCTTTACTCAACAGGTAGAGGCGGAATCGACTTGGCACGGTCTAAGGTGATAGTTGAGTATTATACCACTGGGGTGATTTGGTAAACTTAAAGAGTGGTAAGATTTATTCAACACAAAGGGCTTTAATTCCCATCTTCTTTTTCATTATACCGCCATTGAACTTTAGCCAAACAACCATTCTAGTCTAATGCCATACTCTTTACTTATGGCTATTCTCATTGAAACATTCAACAGAATGGAAAAAGAAGGCAAGTCAAATGAAGGCTTCTACGCCATCATTCATTCTTTACCCATCAATTCTATTGATTAATTCATTGACTCTTCCATCAATTCATGTGATTTTTTTTCATGGCCACACACCTTACCCAACAAGGTAATATTACCTTAATAGAAGTCAAACCGAATCAGGTAAGTATCTTTTTCTTCAATGGAATTGTTGATAGGGGCTTAGTGTTAGCTTTCATAAGATCTTCATTAATGCTTTAATTCAGAGGGCCTGGTTTGAACAGGTTTGCTTGCATGCGGTTGTCGTTCAGGGTCTTGGGGCATTGCAGTACAACAATCTCTTGCATAATAATCTGTAGGTCAAACGTGCATCATTTTGCATTAATTTGTCATAGTCTTGAGGTCATGTTTTTGCCCATGACACTATGTAACAAATTTTTTAAAATTATATAATTTACCAGAGTTCTGGTAAGCAATAAACTTGACTCCTCGATAACAGGGTTTCTATTTGCAGGTTTTATCACAAAATCTCAACATCTCAAATCTCGACAGACCATAATACTGACATCACGTGATGCACTGTCGTTTATAATTTTTATTCAATACAGTACTCATTTTACATTTTATGTAATGAAAAGGTGTACTGTATATTCAATAACAAAATACAGTACAAATCTTCTACACCCCTTTCCACTTGCATATATATAGCTCGATGTATTATTTGTTAATAAATACATACAGTATATTTCATTCAATGCAAGTATTCTTAATAAGATAAAATCTTTTATGATTTGTTAGCTACTAAATGAATGTACATTGAGATTATATTATTATTATTGTAATATCATTTAAATACCTTTTTAACGCTGCTATTATGAATACAGATTTGAATTTATATAATAACAGATTGAATGAAAAAAAAAGAAAATTACTTTTTCTGCTAAGACAGTTTATATTTCTAAAACAAAGAGTACTTTATGAAACAAATAGTAAAAGTAATCTTCACAAGTAAATTCTAAATAATAGAAACAAAGAGAAAGCTATTAAATATAAAAATAGATACAAAATAAAAAAAGTCACAACAAAAGAAGCCTTTTTGATAAAAAGAAAACAATAGAATTATATCCAAAAATAAGAAATTAATACAAGCAATAAAGAAAAAAATCTACTGCAAAAAAAGAAATATAATTAAAAAATATTAGTCTTTGAAGAAGAAAGCTTAATATATAGTAGAAACAGTAGTAACAGAAAGTATAAAAAAAGCTTTAAGAACAAAAAAAATTAATAATAAATCAAAAATAACAGATATATATGACATTAATACATGCCCAATAGAGACAATCTGGCAGCAAGAATTGATGAATATCACTTAATACTAGAAGAAATTATACAATAATTTAAAAAACTAATTAAGTATCTAATAGCTGTTCAATGCTTCTAAATTAAAAATACTAGGTGAATTAAAAAAAAAATAAAGAATCTAAATCTTATTACAAATAGAGCTAGAAGAAAGTTCTAATTAAGAAGTTAGAGTCCTTTGTCTTAAGAAAAATACAATTAGTAGAAAAAAAAGGAAAAATATAGGAGATATATCTTGAATTCAATAAAAAACAAGAAGACAAAATATAGTTTAGATTATTTAAATCAAATAATAGAACTTAATATTACAATATATAATATTAATAGAATTAAAAGCAATTCTTATTAGCTAGAATTTGACTTTGATTAAGCATTAGATAACAAAATAGATATATTGGAAATTGCAGAAACAAACATCTCAGATAAGAAAAAGAAATAGCTATTTAAAGAACAATACAATTATAGAAGTTTTTGGGCAAGCTCTAACTGAAACAAGAAAAAAGACTCTGATATTAGCCTTTTAGTAAATAATTAATAAGCAAAATATATAAAAAGATAAACAAGATAAGCAAATATATAATCTTAATTAGTTTAATACTTAAACAACTAAAGATTATTGTAGTAATATTTTACATGCCACCTAATAATGAACAAGAAAAAAAAAGTATCTAAAAGGTAATTATAAAAAAGTTTATCAATAGATCTATAAGATCACAAATAATAGTGATAAGGAAGTTTAATAGCATAATAAACTCTAATCTAGACAGAACACAGAATATAAAAAAAAAAAGATTTTTTTCTAAACTGGTTATATAGATAAAAATTTTAAAATATCTTTAGAACTATGTATTTAAAAACAAGAAGGTTCATATAGTTAAATAAAAAAACAAGTTTAAGAATTGACCAAATTTAGATTTTAGATAACTTGTTCTATAGCTTATTTGATACAGAAATACAAGAGATAAATATTTATACAAACAGTAATTATGTAGTGATAATTATCAGAATTGATTTAAGTAATTAAAAACAACACCAAGCAAAGTATTTTGTAAAAAAAAGGTTACTTCAGAATAATGTTTCTGGTAAATAAGATATCAGAAAAAAATTAAAAAAAACAAATAAACAATCTACTCAAAAAAGTACAAGTATTCAAAATTTGTTAAAAAGATCTTATTGACAAGAAGAAAAAATACTAGAGTTAAACAAACTCTGGGATATTATAAGTAAAAGTATACTTGTCACAGCAAAAGTAATTTACCAAAAAAAGATCTGTACTACAGTGCAAAATAGAAGAAAAAATAAAAGAGTCAAGATTATATTATACTTTAATGCAATTAAGAAGATAGATTAGTATAGAAAAGAAAAGTTTTAAACTAAAACTCATATATAATTATATTGCAGACCTAATCTTGAAATTAGAGTATACAACACTAATATAATTAACACAGCCCTAATCTGCTAGTTCTATAATTTGATAGATAATCTGAAGAGCTGATAGAAGATTTTGTTTGCAAAAAAGTTTACAAAATAAAACAACAAAAAAAATTAAAGAAAATATTAAAAAAAGATTCTAAATAATAAATAGAAAACAAGATAAAATACTTGCATACCTATTAGAGAAGTTTTTTAGAAAGATCCAAATTGACAGACTTTTGGAGAAGAAAAATAACTAAAAAGAACTTATTTCAAACTCAAAAAAAGTGTTAAACAAAACAAAAGAGCATTACAAAAGCAGTTTAAGCTGTGATACTTTAAACAAAAACTTTAGAAAAAGAATTTAAAGAAAATTTACAAACCAAAAAGAAGATATAAGAAAAATTATACAAGAAGCTTAATCAAAATATTGTAGAAAAGGAATGGTATAATATACTAAGAGATTTAAAAAAAAATATAGCTTCTAGAATCTTAAAAATTATCTATATTCTAATAAAAACAGTAAATATATAAGCACAAAATATCTTTACTTGTTTGTAAAGTATTGTATTCAGTCAAACAGAATTCTAGCTAAATGAAAATTTTTAAATATATCTAATTTCTAAAAATATAGATTGGTATTATAATTTAAACAATGTTAAGCCAATAGTACTATTAGAAACTTCAGAAAATATATAACTAAAGTAGTTACTAAAAGGCTAGCACAAGTTTTTGCAAAAAGAAATATTCTAAAAAGCACAAATTTTGCAGAACTACCTAAAATTTGACCAATGAACTAATACAAATTATAAATATAATAATAGAAGATATAAAAGAAAAACAAAAGAATTATAGCTAGTAATGCAAAATATAAAAAAAGCATTTTGTCTCAGTATCATTAAAATCACTAGAGCAAACAATAAAAAGGCTTAAAATTTTACAACTTACAATAAATTTTATTCTTAACTTATTTAAAAACAAATAGCCAAAAATTATTACAAAACTAAGCACAACTCAATACTTTGAAATTAACAATAATATCGAGCAGAGAGAAGTGATTTCACCTTTAGTTTGAAGAATCTTTTATGATTCACTATTAGCAAGAATTAATGAGAACTCTGACTTGGGCTACAATATAGCCTAACAACTCTTATTTAATTATAGTTTAAACCAAATAATAAAAAGAAAATAGAAGCAAGTTGTTATTGTCTATGCTGATGATAAAACTAAATTGCAAAAAGTAAAGCTCAAATAGAAAAAATAATCTATATTGCAAAAGATTTTTTTAAGTTTTATAATATACAAATAAATAAAAAAAATCTAAACTAATTGTTCTAAACTCAAAGAAAAAAAAACATAAAAAGATATATTTTAGTAGTGAGTAGGTTTCAGAAGAAAGAAAGAACAAAATCACAAGATTTTTAGAAATTTAACTTAATAATAAGCTAGTCAAGGCAAGAGCCAAAAAGGTTGTATATTTAATAACCAGATTTTAAATCTAAAAAAGATAACAATATTACAAGCAATTTATATAAACAATATATGTGTAGTTTTTAAGCTATGCTACATACTGCAGATTTCTAGATTTACAAAAAAACAGTCAATAACTTACAGATATTAATATTAATTCTAATGATATATAGAATAGAATTAACAAGAACTATAAGCAATAGTACAATCTTACACAGAAGTATTAGAAACTGTAACTCTTTATAGAATTAGCTACTAATAAAGCAAACTTTTAGCTTATATTTATGACTAAATACAGCAAGTCCAGAAGAAGCTCAAATAATATTAAGAAATACAATTATTGGTGTTACTAAGAATTTATAGTATAAAAAATTATCTAAAACTTGTATCTGCTTGTGAAAAATAATTTTGCCTGTTTAACAATATTAAAAGTCAAAAAAAGTTAAGAATGTATTTAAATTTAGCAATATAAAGCTTACAACTAAAAACAAAGAGTTAAACTAGCTAATATTTTCAAAAAAATTTTACCTAATAGTGTAGTAATATTTAGAAACTTAATATTATATTACTTAAATAGCTGCTGTCATAGTCTAGTGACTGAATGATAATCTGACAATAACTTAAAGTTCTCAGAAACAATTCAAGTAAAGATAATATAGTAAAATTGTTTTAAATAATAGTAAAATAGTAATAGAAGATAAAAAAATAAAACAGTAAAACCAGAATACAGGCTAGTTAAACTAAATTTCTAGATAATGCAAGTTATACCAGATCTAATAAAAGCTAATAGAAGAAAAAAAGCATAAATCTTGGTTAAGACCACTAAGACCAAAGAGAACAGAGAACCAAAAATTAAACAATCTCTCAACAAGTTTAAGAAGATGATACTTACTAAACATTGGAGAATAAATAAAAATCAAAGTATTAGAAATATCAAGATAGAGAGATGTGAAGTTTGTAAACTCAATCAAGAAAATAAAGAAAAATTATGCAGAAGTTGACTTACTAAAAAGAAGATATAAGGCTTTATATCAAGATTTGTTAATAAGCAAAAAGAAAAGACCCTCAAAATCAACCAAAACATAATACAAATATCACAAAAACTATTTAAGTTAAGGATATCTACAAGCAAAAGAACTTTGCAAGAAATCTGTATATATACCTAGATATTAAAATTATCAAAAACCAGTATATTAATTTAACCATGCAAAAATACTTGATAGAAAAAAATCAGGTAATAAAAGAAAGCTCTTGAAATTAGTTTATTTTCTATATTAACAAATCTTTATGAAATAATGAGACATCAAACTATTCAGAACCTGACAAGATAAGGACAAGCTGGGTATTAGCAGATAAAGAAGAAAAAGAAATAATTGATGAAGAAAAAAAAGAAATAATTGATAAAGGTACTTTGGAGCAAAAAACTAACCCTCTTCAACAAAAACAAAATTGCTTAGTATCTGATATACACTTCTTATTCACCTAGTAAAAAAAAAAAAAATAAATACAGATAGTATAATAACAATAACAAGATTAGAAAAAAGAGAACAAATAAAATCAACAAGAGATAGATTCAAAGAAAGGAATTTTGAACTGATAAAATATATTTAGATATAATAGAAATGAAAAAATTACAGATAGAAATAGAAAAATTAAAGGACACAGTAAAAATAGATAGAATGACAAAACAGATATATTAGCAAAGCTAGGATCTAAAATAGTAGATAGTGATAAAATTATAGAAAAACCTCAGGAGTCAAGTACAATTTATTAGGAAGAAACAACAATAGAAGCTCTTATCAGACAATTTATACAAATTATTCTCAAAATAAAAATTAAAATTGAATAGAAATCTTTAGCAGCAATAAAGAAAATTGAACCAGAAGATGCAGAAACCCAGCACGTTCAATTTTTAATAATTTCTTTACATATAATATTTTTTTTAGTGTTTATTGACCAATCGATAGGTTACGCACCTCACCTGACGATCTGCATCTGAGGGACGTCAGCTGTGATCTGAGGCAAGCGTTAGTCTGAGGCATATAATGCACACCTGATGATATCACATGATCACAGGTAACATGTGATTTGGGCCAGGTTTGCATACGTGAACGCAGTGATGAGTTCTAACAGTGCCCCAAGTTTTTAGCCTTGCCCCGGACATGTCCTCTAGAATTTTTTTTACCCTTTGTTTCAGTGTTGGCAAATGACAATATCATAATGTCATATGATATGTTTGCATGATATAGAATCATATAATTCATATGCCATATGATATAAAATCATGTCATATTATTATTATATGACATATCGTATGATATTGTGATATGACAATTCATATAAGTCATATGAGTCATACGACATCATTGTCCAACACTGCTTTGTTTAGCTTTTAAAACAATAATGTATGTATAATTAAATTTCAAATACACATGACCCTCATTGTTAATATCGACCTAGTTAACATCAACCTAAGCCACAAGACAAATTTTTATAAATTTTATATATCAAAATTCCCTCATATACTGTATATCAACTTTATTATGATCCCTCACTAAATATCATTATCAACATGAATATAAGAGTGACCCAATTGGGTTGATATTAGCGAGGGTCATGATTTTAATTTATAAAAACCGGTTGTCTTAATAAAATCTTGAGGTATCGACTGTCTCGACCCCAACACTGCGTGAACGGCATTACTAGATGGAACTACAGCATCATTTACAAATAATTCTTTATATATACTTGAATTTTATAATAGCTATTGGTCGGGTATTACCTATTGGCTTGATTAATTCAAAATCGAATGGAAAACGGTTAATTAATTTTTACTTTCCCAATTTTTCTTTCATCATAAAAAATTTCTTCGACTAACATGTAAATAGATTGGGGCTTATTTTATCTTTTACAAAAAAAAAAACCTAATGTACAACCATGTTGTCGATTATTACGTATTCGTTCTCTAAGTAGTATACGAGGAATTATTTTTGTCTTCGATCTGTTTTTGGGGTTTGGGCGTTGTTCAGTTGATGTTTGCAGAAATAATAAAACTGGCCTTAATGGTTTAACTGCTTTCATAAAAGCTTCATAGTGTCTCCAGTATCCAACGGGTAATATTACAACGATATTATTACGTTTTACGTCATTAAAAATAAACGTGTAGTATGTTATACGATCATTAGCTAATTTCATTATTCGATTAAATTTGTTTGTTAAGCTATCTGTGGGATTATATGAGTGTTGCTAAAAGAAAACCCGAAAATTTAAATATAACTTATATTTAAATTTTCGGGGTTTTTTTTTAGCGACACTCATATACTCTTTCAAATAGCAAAAAATTTGTGTATAGCTTTACGACTGGCAATGATCTTAGTTTGTCTGTATCACATCTACGTAAGTTCCGCCAAAGCTTGAGTCATCAAGTAATGGTTTTATAATTTTATCTATCATAATTAAACTCTTCTCAATATTTAATAGTCTAGGTAATTCTTCCTCATCTACGTGAATCTTCATTATTAGATTTTTCATTGTTAAAATAATCATCAATAAATTTATCAAAAAACTGATATTTTTCATAGCGACAGTTTTTCTTAAATTTTAAATTAATACGGTATTATATTATATTAATGCAGAAGTAATACAATAGTGAACACCAGGATTGGTCAAATTATTGGTTAATAAATGTTAATAAATTTGCTAGTCGTTAGTTAAATTGATCTTTGATTAAATGGTCTGACCCATTATATATAATTTATTACACGAATATAATATATCTGGTCAATATTACTGTTCGCCCAAAAATAAATACCCCTTTAATAAGACTCAGGTATTAAATTTAATTTTATAGTTTAAAGTGCACTTTAAAAAAATTGTATATAGAAAGTTTTATTACCACTGTAGAACTCCCCTTCTGAAAAATAGAATTTGGTTGTTATTATGTTACGTAACTAGAGTTTGGAACCGGTTTTATGTTTCGTATTAGTATGTAAAAAATCGATTAAAATCGGTTCTACCATATTAAGAATAAAACCGGTTCCAAGGTCTAGTTGCTTATGTAATTTGCAATTAAAGACGTCAAAATTGTCAAAAATTTGTTAAAGTCATGATTACATAATCAAAGAAAAATGTCTCTGCGAATATGTTACACTCTTTAATATAAAAATTTAAATTAAGGCAATTATATAATCATTTAATCAAATTATCAAGAGAAGAAATTTCAATGAATCAATTACGTAATAGTCGAGTATATTACTTGATTATCGAACAAAGACATCATATATCCTCTACGTTACAATTTATACTTAGCATCAAATATTCTACTGTAATAAATACATCATCCAGTGATCATTTAACACTACCAACGATGACGTATTGAATGGATTATGAACGAAAATGACATAAAAATTAAGTTTATAATTATATATAAAGGTTTAAAATGTTCAATACTTTTTAGCGACAACGTTTTTATATCTTCCACTAGCGAAATAATATTAAAATCGTATATCTAAAATATATTTGAAAAAAAAAAAAAATGTCGAGCAAAAAACTTCCACCAAAGAATGATCCTGAACGTACCGCTACTGAACAAGGAGCGTTGAAAACTGCTGAAAAGGCAACTCAGGTTGCCGAGGCGTTAAAGTAATTTATTATCAAAGTATTCTTGAATAATTTTTTTTTTTTTTTAGTTCTTTTTAATCAACCTAGATTTTAATAGGGAAGGAAAACTTCCAACAACTGAACAAATTTTGACGACTATTGAATCAATTCAAGATACCGATATAATTCATGAAAGTGGACGCAGAATGTCTTCTTTGGGTAAAAAGGTGTTGGCTGATACCGAAAAATTTTTGGATAGCACAAAAAATCTTTTTGCTGAGAAGAATGCTGGTGATGAATTGCAAAATACTATATATTATGGTAATAAAGCTGCAAGAGAAATGAGTGGTAACTATTAATTAATGCATTATACGTACTACGAATTTCATCACTTTTATTGACAATCTATTTTCCATTATAGACACCACCACTATGATTCCGGAAGATTTAAAACAAAGAGCAGACGAACATATTGCTGCTAGTGAACCATCGGTTAAGGAACTTTGGCGAAAGACCTTATTGGTAATTAATGAAAAATCAAGTATTGACTTTTGATTTATGGTTGTATTTATTCATTTGTATCTTTTTTTTTTTTATGTAGATTCCTCAGCTATTAATTTCAAACCCGGAATTTCGAAAGTTGTTAAACGATATTAATTGTATCATTCAAGAAGCTTTATTAGCTACTGTTCACGATCAAGAAGGTGATGTTGAAATGCAAACCGGTGAAGAAAAATCTCCGGGTGAATTTACTCAAGACGTTGCACAGCAAACTCGCGAAAGTGTATATCATATGGCTAAAGCCGGAGCGGACATTATCACTCCAAAAGTAAAGGAATTTGGTGAAGGCAAAAAATCTTTACAAGAGGCTGCTGGTGAGGGGATGAAAAGCCTTGCAACTGCAGCTAAAAGTAGAGTGGCTGGCTACAATTTATCACCCGAGAAACGTGATAAAATTGTTACCCGATTTAAAAATCTCATGATTGAGACTCAAAAATGTACCGAATACCAGGAAGCTCTCACCGATCTTGTTGATGTCATGTCTCGTCTTTTCGAATATACCCAAGAAGCCGTTACTCATGTTACAGAAACTACTGAAAGCGCTAGTCAAAGTTCATCACTCAAAATTGCTCAACAAAATGCTAAGGATCTTATTGAAAATTTTGCTAATCATAAATCATTAGACGACTTAATTTGTGCTTTAAAAAATCTGGGAGCACAAATCAAACATGATGAAGAACTTCATACTTACCTGAAAGAGCTTCAAAATTTTGTCCTCCCCTCGTTACGTGATCCTGAATTTATTCAACGTACTGATTTTAATGAACACGGTTCGCGTCTTATTGAAAATGGGCGTCGAATCTTGTTAGAAAATTACGAAGAAATTACGCTCAAGATTGCTGACGAGGCAGCAGCCTTTAATGAATGTTTACAAGAAGATCGAACCACTCTCCGATGGACTAGTGACCTTGAATGTTTGGTCAAAGATATCTTCTTGGATGAAAAAGGTAATCCGACTATCAAGTTTGAATTGATTAAAGACTTTGGAAAAATCTTATCTATGGTGACGGAAAAATTGAAGTTTATTCCACTGCCACGATTAGAAAAGTATGTTTGTCTTTATATATTTATTATTATTAGATGATTTGCTTTGATTTACTGAATATGTTTTCATTCCACGTATTAGTTCTGATGACATGTACGACTATTGTTTCGATAATGTCGTAATTCACGTGCCGGATATTGTTCCAAAGCATATTCATATGAGCTTGACTTCTGATATTAATTTGGATCGTGAGCCGAATAACGTCGTTCAAAACACTGCATTTTTCGAAATGTATTTTGATTTATTCATTTTTGATATTATTAATCTTTATATAAAATATTATACTCAAACATTTTCGTTCTGATTAGTTCCAAGCTCCGTGCCGATGCCCGTAATATTGCATTTTATTATTGGAAAAAAGGCGGATTAATCACAATGCGTGATGTGAGTATACAATTTGAATTTTTGTTTTTTTTTTACAGTAACATTTAATTCACGTATATACTGTACAGGTCGGTTTAGTTGATTTTGCAATTCCAACTGATGGTTTACAATATCACATGAAAATCTGTTTGGAATTACCCAGCGAAAATACACAATTCGCGCAATTCCATATTCTTGAAGCAGATACTAATATAACTGAATTGAAGATTCGCTTACATGATACGAAACATGAGTGAGTATCATTCAAGAATTATTACATAAAAATAAAAAAATATTTTTATATAAATCTATGATTTTTAATTTTAATTTCTCTTTATTTTTGCTAAATAAATAAGCTTTCTGTACATGTTACTTACTCCTTTGGTTGAAAAGCATCTTAAACGTCAAGTTGAAAATGCTATAACAGAATATATGAAAAAAGCAATTACATTTATTCAAGAAACGATTTGTCGAGTTCAAGCGCAAGTTGGTGAAATGCAACAAGCAACTACTGCTGCTCGGCAAATTGCATCACCTGTGGACGAGGAAAAGTTAAAAGCTAGGGAGGCTTGGAAGTCTGAGGCCTTTAGTCCAGAAGGTACTAAGGCATAAAACATTGTTTAATGTTAAAAATGCCTACATTTTGCGTGACAGTGAAAAATTTATCATGAAATAACAAAAAAACATTTATTTAATATTGCACCAGATAAAATTGTTAATCCATTTCTGTTGTTTACTAAGTATTACGTATCATCATATTTCTTTGGGTTTTTATAATAAAATTTTTTGTTATACTTTGTTTTTAAAGTTATTAGTTTATAACCAAAAGGGCTTGAGAAAATTTTAATGTCTAAAAAAAAAATAAGCATTTGCGTATTTTAATGTAATGTTAATTTCAGGTGACACAATGAACTTACTGCAAGCATTTTAACATTCTATGCAACTTTTTACGTTTTTCAAATCTTTTTTCTTACATGTAAAATAAAGTTTAGAAATTTTTAAAACATATTTAGAAAAGATTTTGAATTAAGATATTTTACTATTAACGTTAATTAATGTGTATAAATCATACTATGCTAATATATAAATTTTTTGTCCGAATAGAGCACGCACTTAAAAGCAGTGTTGTGCTGGAGGAAAGTCAAGAATTTGGAACAGAAAAGTCTATCGCAGTCGTGTGATGTAAATTATTCAGGCAAATTTTTATAGTTTTTTTTTCGGTTAGGTTCATGGCTATAAGCTAAAAATTACTATTATGAGTAAAATTACGCTCCTATATTTTTAGTTAGTGCTCTAAGAACGATTTGTCAGTTTTATTTTGTATTTTCGCTTTTTATTTTTTTTTTTACACGCATATCTACACTGATCCGGAACAGTCAATTTACGTACGTACGTACGTATGTTCTTTGATTAGCTGCACAGGTAGAACAATAAACCTTTTCAATAAGTATTCTTTTAAAAATCCTCGGTGTGACATGCAATCTCCAGCCTTTATATTACATGTGAAAGAGATACGGAAAGAATTTCGATAATAAAGGAAATATTTGGAAAAGTTGCATATCGTATCAAATATTTTTGAAAAAATAATTGTGAAAAAAAGTTTATCGTTCTACCTGTGCTGTTAATTCCTCGTACGTAGGCCAGGTTCTCGTACGAAAAGTCCAAGAATTGAGGTTAGGCAAGGTTTAAGTCCCAGAATTTAGTTCTAACCAATCGAATAATCTATTGATGCTAAGATGCTACAGTATGTTGTTCTCTGGAAATTATTACTATTATATTCCAGTCAATCAAAAGGTAGAAAATCGATTATTGTGATAAGATTTACTATGAACCTAATGTGCCTAGGTTCTTAATTAGAATTTAGTCTATGAAAGAATATTACCTATTAGCATTACATCAGTGTGTTTTATTATTAATAAGGAATATCAACTTGTTATACCGATACAGTATTAAAAATTTTAAGGGCAAATTATCGTTATTACTCATAATATAACGGCAACGTTTCGTAGGACTGGAGCCTTACTTATTAGGTTATTAAATTTGAAAATCACATTTTTTTAGCACAGAGTACAAGAATATACGTTAATCTTAAATAGCAAATTTTTATAAATTTATATTAATGTGTGCGTGCAAGACATAAATTCCGATTTAATAATTATTAAGGATGTAATCTCTGCTCTTCATGCAAACGTGTACTTTTGTAATCTATTATAAGAGAAAGTACTATTGAAATCCTATATAGCTATGAATGTAAGACCTATAACGAATTTCTTATTGCCAATGTCTAATACTGTTTGTGATAATATTAAACCTTGCGATTTGTGAATCGTAATTGCCCAAGCAAGGAAATCGCATACGAGAACAGTTCCTGATTTTTCTTCCCATATATATTTTATTGGTGATTCGGACCACTTGTAATGTAAATAGTATTGCCTGTACGTATAATTATCCATTTTGAGTAGGTGATGTGGCGCCTTTCCGAGTCATACATGAATGACGGGAAGAGAAAACCTGTAATTCTAAAAATCGATTATTGCATTATAAAATTCATAATAATCTATGTTTAGAATTACAAGTTTTCTCTTTCCGTCACTCATATAATATCAGTAATCGTACCCATTGCGCCATTTACCAATTTGTAATTAGTCAAACTATTGGAGGTAAACATTATACGTAAAAGCTCCAAACGATAAAAAATAAACTGGTCAAAGACCGTTTATCATATCAGATTGTGCTTTTCTAGCATCCCGACTAGTATGTACAGCTTTTATCTTGGCAACAGTCGAAATTAAGTTGTCTTAGTTTTGTCATATTGGGGGGTTTCAAAGTTAAAATGTGGAAATCTAATTTTAATTGAAATTGGTTACAGATTTATTTTCAAATGAGCGACGTATCAACTTTATTCATTTTCCGATAAATTTGAAATGATGATTTTTGTCGTGAAAGGTCTATTTATTTCATTAAATGTAGATCTCCGGACCAGTGTTCGAAATTTAAGGCACAAATACTGTTCTCATGAGAATAGTATGATAGCTATAAGTGTTCTCAAATACTGTTTTATGTTTACGAATAACCAAACAAAAAGATTATAATAGAACATACATATTATAGTAAGAATTGGAACTGTTTACCTGCGTAAAGATTGTTTTATAATTTCAACATGAATTTCATTGGTAATGAGCAAACTTAATGCCAATAATTAGCATGGTTAAACGGTTAATCGATTAGAAAATTTCAGGCGGTTCAATTCCTATATTATAGATGAGAACACCCTTATTATTTTACTGTTCACAAAAATTTTTAATAGAGAACATTAAAAAATTTGTACTGTGCGCAAATTCATAATGAAGTTCTCATGAAAACACTAATTTCGAACACTCCAGACACTCCCATTTCATTTTTCGATTTCAAAATGTTGAAATACAAATAAGATTTTTCAAACTCTCATTTAATTTCAAAATGCGCTACTCATTTGTTAATTTTGAAACCCCTTATTCATTACGGCGCATTTGTCAAATTTAATTAATTTTTGGTCCCCAAATTTAAGTTTTAGGGACAAAATTTGTTATTTATTTTTTAAGATTGAACCCCCTAAAAAAAATGATTGGCACTCCGATCTATAATAACAATGCGTCTAACCCATTTTCCAATACATCAAACCCATTTTTTCCATTAGTGCAACGCATTTTAAATTTCTTTACAATTCAGATAACCCATTTTAAATTTATCATTTCATATATGTACGAATGTACAAATTAATAATCTGCAGTGACCGTCAGTAACATTGACAGTATTTTATGGATTACAGAAAATTTAAAATGTATAACATTACATATATGTGAAGTCAATTAAATGACTCACAATCGGTAGTCAAAATTTTAAAATTTTGGGGCATTTTACAAACGCGTCGTAATGTATATTTTTGAACCTTTCCCATTTGATAAATAATCTAATCAGAAAGCTGGCATGAAATTGGTAACGGCAAGACATTTGGACTTTCTAAAAACTCATAGCGTTAGTTAGTAAATAATCGCATATTTTTATGATTTGTAATTTCTTAAATACATAGATTATTTCATCGTTTGGATTCATATTTTCTTTTCTAACATTATTTTGACATTTGCGCGATTTTGTTTTTTTTTTGTTGACTCATTATTTCGATAACTTAATTGTTCTTCAGGTGTCATAGAAGCTAATTAATTGTTTCAAGCTGTCATAGAAGCTAATATTTTCTTTCGAGCATCATTTCTTTCAAATTTCTGTTCAGGTGTATAAATTCTTTTACGTTTTGGCATTTTACGTAGAATTCAAATTACTAATCATATCGTTTACTTTATTTATCATTATAATTTTATTAGTCACACACGTAGTTTACTTATTTATCATTGAAGTTAATGATTAAACGTCTGATTAATTAATATTTCTACAGGGTCGACAAAATTAGTATTATCGTCATTACAGAGACGGGAGCCAGAATTTAGTACACTATGAAAAGGCCTTCCACTTCGCTCCTCTCCACTCCAGCCCAAAAATATCAGTGGAGGTTTGAAACATTATATCTCTGCGTTAAGCTAAAACTAAAGTATGCTGCACAGTTATAAAATGATTTGGAGTTTAAAAAAATAAATATTTTAAATATACAGACACAGTACCAACATCATAACGATAACGGTTGAATAAAAAGTTATAGATAATGATAGTATTCAAAAAATTGAAATTGTAACTAATCATTTTCATTGTTAAAATTTCTATAATTAAAATCGTAGTCAATTCAATAGTTACATATAGACCAATTCAGTTGAGAATACACCTTAATCAATTCAACGGCAGCATAAGTGTTAAATAATTTTTTTTTTAAAAAAAAATCCAAGATTTAAATATTTTTATGGCAAACGTTTATTTTAGAGTGGATATTTTAATTTAAATAAAAAAATAATGCAAGTTGTTTTAGATAAAATAAACATATGTTTTAATTATTATTAGGTGATGTTTTCCTTCTTTAATATTCGTATTTATAAACACCCAATAAGATAAAACAAATTTAGAGATGATTCATATTCGGCTTCAAACTGACTTAGGATTAATATAGCATTACATTTAACTCTATAAATTCGAAAGATTTTTTGATCTAAAATATGATTCGATCTATAACTGATGTATGTTCAGAAGCAAGGAATATTCCTATTTACACTTTTAGGTTTTGATAATCGGAAAAGTTTCTACTCGCATTCTATGGATATTGAACATTCTGGACGACCGCTTCTATAAGAATTCAATTCCGATGTGATTAGCTAGTGATCGTAATAGTGCACAATTACAATTATAATTATATTTATATAAAATTTTGATGACAAATTGAATATGCAAATTATGGTGTAATCAAACTTTTCTCAAACGTAATTCTCAATGCGATTACCTAGTAAACGTGACGGTGCTCATTTATTATAATCAATCAAAATAAAAATTGCAATTAATACTTGAGCGATTCATTATTTATCAAATGTTGTCGTCACTAGCTTTAGTCTTCGCAACCCGAAAATGTGTACCAGGTTGCGCTCCGGATGATCATGTGATAGTCCGGAATGATAGTCCGGAATGAATGTCCGAAAAATTTTTGAAGTTTGCGCGGTTAATTACATATATTTTTTTTTAATAATAATTTATGCACTTTACGCAAATTTACAATACATTGTACGTATACATTTATGAAAATTTAAATGCTTTTACATTATTATTAATTTTGTTTGTTTTCACTAATGTTTTTTGATAAATTATGTATTTTTTTGGAAGTTTTTCTTTTTTTGCGTGCTTTCATTATTGTCGGGTCAATATTTTCTTGAGAAATCTTGCGCTTTCTTCGTTGTACTGATGCTGGTTGCACTCGAATTTTTGCACCACTTCGCAATGATTCAGCTTTTACGGTAGAATTTCGTTGATAAAGATAAGAAGTCAGTTTACCCAATGATAAAGATTCGGCTTTTTCATATTCTTTCTTAAAATTTTCAATGCCGGCAAGTAAT